CCCGCGTCGGGCTCTGGGCTGATGGCTCGGAGCCTGGAGCCTGTTTCCGATTCTGTGTCTCCCTCTCTCTCTGCCCCTCCCCCGTTCATGCTCTGTCTCTCTCTGTCCCAAAAATAAATAAAAAACGTTGAAAAAAAAATTAAAAAAAAAAAAAATCTAGGGGCTCCTTGGTGGCTCAGTGGGTTAAGCGTCCGACTCTCGGTTTCGGCTCAGGTCATGATCTCATGGTTTTGTGAGTTTGAGCCCCACATCGGGCTCTGTGCTGACAGCTCAGAGCCTGCTTGGGACTCTCTCTCCCCCTCTCTCTCTGCCCCTCCCCTGCTCACGCTGTCTCTCTCTGTCTCTCAAAAATAAATAAACTTAAAAAAGAAAGAAAGAAAAAACCTAAAATTCTAGCAGAATAGATCACCTTGCACAGTTAATGACACGTTGACTTCTGATGGGTGTTGTGACTGAGGTCTGACCGGGGTCCTGTGGGCGTGCAGAGCAGGGGAGAGGGGCTTTCTTAACCACCCTGCTCCAGGCTTGCCGGGAAGACGGTGGCCCACGGACTGCTCAGTGCTGCATCTCTAGTCCAGACCCCAGAGATCGCACCCGAGGGGTCCCCTTGGGCCCCTTCCCTTATCATATTTGGGAACAGGAAGATCCTCCAACGGATGGAAGCTAAAGATTCTGTTTTTGTTTCTGGACGATGCTGGTGTCGATACCTTGTGCCCCCAGGCCCCAAAACACGAGCCCGGAGAGCGTCCAGGGGAGTCTAATGGGCCTGGGTGACTGCTAAGCGGATGGTGTGGCCGCCTGGGCTGCTGTGTGTCTGTGGCAGCTTGGCTTGCAGGCCAGAGGATGACTGCAAAGGTCAGGGTTCAACCGGCTGCCGCCTTCCGCGGTCGGAAGCGGAACAGACTTCCCAGGCTGCCCGTGCTCCAGGCTGGAGCCCGCTCCCTCGCTGCCGCGGACTCACCAAGCCAGGAGTCCTCGGGGACGGGCAGACGTCGGCCGATCGGATAAATGGGTACAAAAGAAGCCGAGGCAGGTGGTGGGAGTTGGCAGGCAGAGGCCAGGGGTCAGAGGGCCCAAGGCTTGAGACAAGAGACGGGAGGCCGAGACAGGCAAAGTGGAGCGGTCTGGCTCCAGAGCCAGGAGAGGGTTCCGACTCGCAGCTGAGTTTTAGACCCCCCCCGGTGGCCTGATGCTGAAGAGTAGTGTCATTAGGTGCCACATCAGGTTCCCGAGGGCGTCCTCCGAAGGAAGGTCTCTCCCGGAGCTCAGCGGGGACACCATTCTAGAGCCACGTCGCGGCTCTGCGGGGACGTTTGAGAGGGAGATTTCCCTCTGTCTTTTCTCATGTCCCTGCCCAGGCCGGGGCTCCTTCTCTGTGTCAAGGAAATCAGTTCTACTCTTCACCAGAGTGCATCTCCCTATTCCCTGCACGCCTCACGCCGGCACCTCGTGTGTCAGGGGGTCAAGACCTGCTCAGGTGAAAGTGACCCTCGAAGTCGTCAAATCCCCACACGTGCAATCCCCAAAGTTTCCTTCGGGAAGATAGCCTCAAGAACGGAAGGACAGAAAGTACCAGACAGGCCAGCGAGGGCTCGACTTCCAGGAGAGGAAGAAAGCCTGGGGCGGGCGGAGGGGGGGGGGGTTCTTCTCATCTCGGGTTCTGTCCTTTCCAGTCCCTCCGATGCCGATGCCGGGCAGCTCCCAGGCCCGAGCAGGGCGGGGCACCGGGAGAGGCCGGAGCCCGGGAATTCCAGCGGGGTCCCCAGGTGATCATGAGGGTCAGAGTCCGTGTGCCTCATTCAGGGAGGTCATAGGGCTGGAGACGGAAGAGCTGTCGGGTAGTGGACCGCGTGTAGACATTTTGCGCTCAGCTGGGAGCCGGCACCGAGGCTGAATCGGGGCCAGGGTGCCCGGTATGAAGTCTCCTTCAACGGGCAGAGGAAGCCCAGGGAGTCCTTTTATTGGCTACTGGGTAAGAAATGTGGGAACGTGGGACTCAGTTCAGGAACTCGACAGCCACGTTCTCCTCCAGGAAGACTCCCTGATAACAGTCGAAGGAAATGACCCGTAAACACCTAGGGGTTTACCCTGCACCTTGACTTTCCCCGTGGTTCCCCATATGTGTCTCCAGGCCCTACCATCCACAGGCCCAGGGCCTTCTCCGGGGCTGGTCCAGCCTTGCCCTCTCTCTGGTCTCCTGGGTGCCCAGCTTGGGACCTGGCCTGGCCTAGTACCGGGCGAGCATTTCCTATGTGGAATGACTTGCCTTTTGCAAGGGTGCACTGTCTTGGGGTTTGGTAGCAGGGGCACAGAAGAGTCTAGAATGCTGCTCAGAGCACCTGGCTTCTTAGATTTCTCGCCTGCTGGGTGGCCTAAGAATCCCTTCCCCCCACCCCCACACACAGGGTGCTCCAAGGAGCACGTAAGAACCTGAATGTCACACGTGAGAAGGCCACCGGCGATCTTATGTGACAGGTGGCATCGAGTGATGGTCCGGGCCTAAACTGTGTCACCAGGCTCCCAGGGAGTAAATCTGGCTCTGCTGCTGGAGAGATGTGTGACCCGGGGCTGGAGGCTAGCTAGCCTTCCCTGTGCCGTGGATTCCTCATCTGTAACATCACTGGTCATGAGGATTCCATGGGTGAGTTTATGTAAAGCCCCCGGAACAGTGCCTGGAGGCTGGAGATGGATGGAGACGGGGGTGATCTGTGTTGCAAATTTGGCACCCCTTTCCTGATTTCAG